TTTTTCAGGAGCCATCACGTCGTACAGAACAATCACTGGCTTCGCCCTTTTCGAAACTGGGCATGCTCAGACCCTGAAGGGGCGTGGCGACTTTGATTGTTTGGTCTGATTGGGCTAGAGGACAATTAACACCCACACGTGGAGTCTACATTCCTCTTTGCTGAGAAAAGGCGTTCAGGTAAGACAACGCCCCTTCTAATCTAATTCTGAGATACACAGCTGATTAAAGAACCTTTTTTAAATTCAGTGTTTGAGCTCTGCATTTCATGAAGAAGTTATTGCTAGGTAATGAAATATCTATACTGATATCAAAATACAGAGTGCAACAAGCTCTGCTGTCTTCCATTCAGTGTGCAAATGGTATAAAAAGGTATTCAAGTTTACTTTTCTTTGTTCCTCTCTCCCAGTAATCATTTTTAGTCATAATCCTTATGTTAGTATTAAATGTAGCTTTTAGAATGCCCTGTGAACTCAAGTTTATACAAACAATTTTTGTTATTAATAATAGAGAAAAAATAGTTTAGAGTTGAACTAGGAATGTGGAGACATAAGTGCAGAGAAAATGAATAGAAAGGAGATGAACTGGAAAATGTGAGACTAGTTTCAAAAATTGTAAGGGTTCACCAGCATGAAAAATTGTTTCTGAAATAGAAATTGTGTTTTTGAATTCTGTTCACAGGAGAGGTAACACCAGGATTATCACAAGTGGAATATGCTGTCCGTAGACACAAGTTGATGGCTCAGATACAGCAAGAGATGCAAGGGACAGATCACACAGTAATTCTGCTTTCAAATCCGACCTATTACATGAGCAATGATATTCCATATACCTTTCACCAGGACACTAATTTCCTATATCTGTGTGGCTTCCAAGAACCTGATAGTATCTTAGTGTTGCAAAGTGTGCCTGGTAGACCTTTGCCATATCACAAAGCTTTACTATTTGTTCCAAAAAGAGATCCAAGCCGAGAGTTGTGGGATGGGCCACGATCTGGCACTGATGGAGCAGTGGCCCTCACTGGTGTAGATGAAGCATATACCATGGAAGAGTTTGGACATCTGGTATCTAAATTAAAAGGTATGAAAACAAAATAGATTTTGCATTGTATAAAATAGGATATTGAATCATTTAAGCAATTTACTGTCAAGTGAAGGGCATAATAGATATAAGATAGAAAGCTGGATTCATGCACTGCATTATAAGTAGTCCTCAACTTATGATCGAAATTGGGCCTGCAATTACAGTCATAAGTTATGGCGGTTATTAAGCAGGTCATCATTTGCCTGTGCCCAATTTTGCAGCCTTTTTTGCAGCAGTCATTAAGTGAATGCTGCAGTTGTTAAGCAAAATCATTGTTTGCTTTTTTGCTGAAAACCAGAAGTAAATGCTGAGTTCTGGCAAAAGTGTAAATTATCACATGACCGCAGGACACTGTAAAGACTGTAAATGCGGGTCGGTTGCTGAATGCCCAAAATGCAGTCATGTGACTGGGATGGTGGTGTCAAAACTTCAAGTCCAAGTACATTTTTTTGGAGTTAGTCATAACTTTAAACAGTTAACCAGTCGTAAGTTGAGCACCATCTGTAAGTCTTAGAATGGTTTGGATTTGCCTTAGTGTTTGAACCCAACAATTGTGGTTCATAAAAGATGGTTCATGGTAGTCATGTTACACGAATTGCACATCAATTATTCAGTAACCTATAACTAAGGAAATCATAACTTCATGTGAGAAGTTTAAGCTTACATTCCTAGCTCCCTACTTGCCGTCATAGAAAAAAAAACCTGAAAGATCATAATTTCAATAAAGAGGAGGGCGTTTGTTTTTTGATTTTAATGCAAATATTAACATGCAAAGTTCATATTTTCTGAAACTATACGCAACCTGAAGAACAGAATTAAGTGCCCAAATAAATACATTTCAGAAATAGGTATGAATGTTTATTTAACATTATTTCTAAATTGCCCCAATCCCAAATGGCCTTCTGTATCATGGGTATATTTAAGGGCAAAATTTGTAAAAATTATATATATACAGTATAGAGACAGACTCTGGAGAGTCTTACTTTGCCCAGTCTGGCAAAGTAAGACTACATAACAGCTACACATGATAGCTGTTATGCAATAATGAAAGTTTTCCAAGTTTGTTGGGCTTATATATCTTTGTTACTTGTGAATTACACAGAATAAATTATTACTACAGAACTGTAATTAATTTTACTGGTCTTTTGTTCCAAATTTTGTTCCAATATTTAAGTTCTACTTTCACAATTCCTTTCTTTAAGAACTTACTGTTACGGTACAGTCATGTATACATGCAACATATTGAAGGAAGTAGGCAACAGGGCTTGTTTGGAACTTATAGTAGCCTCTCCTGATTAGTGCACGAAAGAAAATAGCTGTCCATACACTAGGCAGCAAAAATAATTGAGAATAGCTTCCTAATTAGCTACTCAATTTGGAAACTATTGCTTTAATAGTGCAAAAGTATATGCTTCCAACTCTTTCAAAGGATTTGCACAGTCGTGCTAGGTACTTTGTTTAGGCTGCATTCTTAACACACTTAGAGTGTAAAAACATTACTTCTGTGTCCCTATGAGTGAGAATGCATTCTGAAAAGAAGAAGCTTTGTTAAAATTATAGTATAGAGATTCATAATTTATAGCTCCATAGTCACATGTGGTCTCCCATAGCCATGGAAGTGGCTCCGGAGTCCTATTAAAAGATCTTATTGCTAACCTGAAATCTTTAATAACAATGGGAGTGAACAATATTAAATACTATGTGAATAACTAATAAGTTTTATTAAGTCCATTGAGAATAACTGTAATAATTTAATTTACTCAATTTACATTAACTCTAGTTTAAATTACTTTTTATATATTTAATCTTCTCCATTTTTGCAGGGCAATTCTTGGCACCCTGTTCAAAGACCAAGTGCAGCTCTTGATCCAAAAGAATTGTATATTCAAATGTACTTGAAATCTACTTTTTTATATAGAGGATGATGATGCATGGGGAAAACACATGCCTTCTTTACTCAGTTAATTTAGATCCATATCTTTGTTTCTAAGGCGCTGTCTATTACAAAAAGTAGCTTCACCAATTTTTCTTATTACTGATTCTTTTCAGGAAGATTTAAAAATACTATAAAATCAAACATCTCTTGTTAAGAATACCAGTGTTGACCCTTAATTCGAACTGTTATCCATATTTGGCTGCAATCTGATAATTACCAAAAATATGCAAGCATCTCTCCAAAGAAGTGTAGTTAATTAAACTTAAAGTGTAATTATATTCTGTTTCACAGATGATTCTAGCACAGTTTGGTATGATTTTGCTAAACCTGTGCATCCACAGCTCCATTCTGATTATCTGCTGCATCTGGCTGAGGTCAAAACTAAATGCAACAACCGTGTTCGAGCTGTCCGGCATCTAGTGCAAAACTTACGGCTGATCAAATCTGCCACAGAGATTGAGAGGATGAAATTTGCTGGCAAAATCACTTCACAGGTATTGATTAAAACATTTATATTGCACAAGGTGTTAAGAGAAAAAAAGGCATGATATTGGAAGTCATGCCAAAAGGAAAATGACATATAGCTAGCATCTTTCTGCTGGGATGTTCCCGGAATTAATGCTGATGATTTATTCAGGAAAAATATGGGATCCATGTGTTTATGGAAAGCCTTCTGTCAACAACTACCACTGTAGTCCCCTATGTTTCACATACTGTAATAAGATTATCATCATATGAGTTAGTATGACAAATACCAGTGAAGAAGAAATCAAACATACCCGATCACTTTCTATAATAGATCATAATCAAAAGTGTACATTTACAACTATGATCCAATTTCTCATACCAATATGGTATATTCACCTCCTCAACCAGCTCTTCCTCACTGCCTCTTCTTTTGGAAAATATAACCATATTTTGGAAACTAGCATATCTATCTATCTATCTATCTATCTATCTATCTATCTATCTATCTATCTATATATATATATATCTATATATATCTATATCTATATATATCTATATATATATATATATATATATATATCTATATATATATATATATATATATATATCATCAGGGTTGCTGAGGCGGTGTTTGGGAGGGTTTATATACAATTCTCACATGCCTGCATCCGGCTGCGCGAACGCGTAACCGGACCCCGGTACACGCGCTCCTGCGCGGTGCCTGTTTTCTCTTTACCCGCGTGTAAGCGTCTTGCCTTTTTTCCCTGTTTGTTACTATGGGGTCTCTGGTTATCTTTGTCAGGGATCATCCAGGGTTCTTTCTTACACCTTTCACCCTTTGTGGCCCTTTCATCCTTCCCCTCTGATCCATCCGTTCTTTCTCCCTCATTCGTTTCACCCTTAATCCCTCTATCACTTTCACAATCTCTCCCGTGTGTATTGGCTTCAATTCCATTCTCCTTCATGTTACTATCACTCCTTCCATTCAACTCGTGGGGGATCCGGGGGTCCCCAACGGGCCCTCGATCGACCCCTCTTTCACCGGGTCCTCCCATCGAGTCCAGATTAGTCCCCCTCTCCCTCCAATACTGACGTTGCATGTGTTTCCTTCCTCTTCTCTTTGCAGCCCGTTCCACCCCCCCTCTCCATTCTTACAATCTGCATTCGCTCCATCCCTACTTACCCTCAACTTCCCTTTATCCAACCCACCCTCCTGTTGTGGCCACTCTCCTCCCATCATCCCCAATACTGCCATTCCATTACCATCATCCTCTCTTCCAAGAGTCCTTTCATACTCCGTTCCTTCCACCCTCTTATTCATATCTCTACAGTGTCCTTCATCCATCCATCGGCTCCATTTCTTTCTTTGATCTATCACTCCCCGACTCCCTTCGTTCCCGGGGGCACCTGCACCCTCCGATCTTCTGTTATATCGTTCTCCTATGTCCCCCGCACGCTCAGATCCACTTTCCACCGTTTCTTTCCCATCCTCGTTCTTACTATCCAGTGGTCTTTTGTCCCCTTTCATATAGGAGCTCCTCCTCCTGTGCCCTTTAACGGGCTCTCGGGCGGTTTTTCCCTCGCTGGGCCTCCCCATTGAGTTTGACACGATTTCCTCTTCTATCCATCCGTCCGCGGTATTACATGCGTCATTCACTTCCTCTCTTAATGCTTCCTTCCCTACTCCCTTTCGATCCTTGTAATCAACCATCCCTTCACACTTGTTAACCTTCCGGCTCCCTTCATTCCCAGTGGCACATACGGATGGATCAGAGGGGAAGGATGAAAGGGCCACAAAGGGTGAAAGGTGTAAGAAAGAACCCTGGATGATCCCTGACGAAGATAACCAGAGACCCCATAGTAACAAACAGGGAAAAAAGGCAAGACGCTTACACGCGGGTAAAGAGAAAACAGGCACCGCGCAGGAGCGCGTGTACCGGGGTCCGGTTACGCGTTCGCGCAGCCGGATGCAGGCATGTGAGAATTGTATATAAACCCTCCCAAACACCGCCTCAGCAACCCTGATGATGTCGGGAGAGTCCGACGAAAGCTCGGTTGCCGATAATTTTAAATGTTTTATTGCTTTTAAATTGTTTTTAAACTTTTTAATTGTTTATAAACATTTTATCTACTCTTGGTGATCGTGATTATTTGGACACAACATGGACGCACCCAAGAGTCGGATTTTTAATTCTATTTCCAGCCATATATATATATATATATAAGTGCTTTTTGAACACCCTGTCAGCCCAAATATGGGAGAGAGAGAAGTCTTTTTCCTGCATCAGCTCAATCCAGAGCCATCCACAGGCAGCAGTCGCTTAACTGCGACATCATATGTGTGTTTTTTTTATATATATATCTAAAATATATCTATTTTTATTATATATCTATAAATAAAAATGTAAATGTTTGTTTGTTCAAAATCTTAAATCTCCGAAAATTCTTCACCGATTGCTTTGAAATTTTGACAACGTTGCATTCGAATACGCGCGTTTTTATATACCTACTATTATATAGATGTCACACCTGTGACAGGTAAAAACATGCTTTTTTTGAAAAACAGCGCCAGACAATGGAACAACAAAAAATATTGTATACCCACAAGCATTGAGAAATTAAACATATTACAAACGTGCGCTTTCTCTTTTCTTTCTTTTCCATTTAACCAGACTGAGCCACAGCAACGCGTGGCCGGGTACAGCTAGTTTATTAATAGTTTTTATTACTACATTTCAACAGGCATTCATAGAGACTATGCTTACAAGTAAAGCTCCAGTGGACGAAGCATTTCTATATGCTAAGGTATGTGCTTTTTTGCATTGTGGAAAATAGTCCCTTACTGTAACCTGACAGCCAGTTTTTAGGTTGTATTCACATGTAATGCATATTCTCACATAACATGTGATAGGTTTCTGTTAATCCTTATGTCGACCCTTAATTTAGAACTTGCAGGATGGATACCAAAGAAGGAGAACATCAAGAGAGACACCAGGATTTTAATAAAGCATAAAAAAGATTTAAGAAATTGCCTCAATACTTACAGATAGTAAATCCCATTGAACTTAATAAGATATGCTTTTGAATAGATGTGTGTAGGGGACTACTGATAGCCTTTCATCTGAACAATGAAAGGGTTTTGCTCTTTAGCACTAATTATATTTCACTTCCTGAACATTATCTTTCCTTAAGAATACCCGTTATAGAAATGAAATTTCAAGGAAAATAGTGCAAATGCAAAGTATAATTTAATGTATTAGTGCATTTTAATTTAGAAGTATTTTCCCTATAAACATTCTCCTACACATGTATTAGTATCCCAAAAAATATGTTTTGGTTCTAATTAACAGTTGAGAGTGCCAACAACCACCCCCTCAAACGTAATGAAAATGTGAGAATAAGTACAGACTAAAATCTCTTTCTCTTCAAAGAAACAAAATTGAGTAGGAAACACAGCCTATCACAAAAAAAATTATTTAATGAGGTTAGTACCTCCTAATGTTTCGTGTTACTTTCATTTAGTGAAAGAAATCCTTGGCTGGTTTGCTGTTCCTAAGAAACCAGTTCTTGTCTGTGGACATGCACCCAAATCAAGATAAATATGGGTACAGGGAGAAAAATTGGACATAGATAGAAGCACACAAGAAAAGCTACCTTTGATTTTGCTGTTTCAAAACAATCACCAAGTTCTTGGTAATTTTTTCCTTTTGCTTCCAATAGCACACTAGGTTTCTTTAGTTCACATACTGCAGAAGGGAAGAGAAATGTATGGCTTTTCAGATGGTGCTGAACAACATAATTCCTCTCCACTGATTGCAATAACTGAGGCTGTTAGGTATTTTACTTAAGCAGTAGCATGCTCTGTGGGTTGATATACTATATTTCCTTCAAAGAGCTAAGAATACCTTTTATATGGTTGCTCATTTTTTTTCCTGACAGCAAACTATGATATAAATCCATTAAAGATAATCCTTACTTAACAACAGTAATTGGGATCATAATTTCCATTGCTAAGGGACACAGTTGTAAAGCGTGGTGACACCTGCTTATCAATGGAAATTGTGGCATTTTCAGTTATTGATAAGTGAATCATCGCAAGTCATTAAGCAAGCATGTCTTGAGGTCCCCTTTTGTGAACTCCTGCCGGCTTTCCCATTGACTCTGTAGGAAGTTGGCAAAGAAGGTTGCAGATGGTGATTATGTCACTGAGGTGATACTGCAATTGTAAGTCCAGTCATAAGTCCAGTATTCATTCAGCACTGTTGTAAGTCTGAACAATCATGAATGAGTGGTTGTTAAGCAAGAACCACCTGGTTTGAGAAAGCTGAATCAAGTCTTCCTATTCAAACATACATAAAGTATCCCATATACTTTGCTAGTTTGCTAGCCCAAGTATTGGCATTGGCAGAGGCTTTGTGAGAAAGGGCTTGGATAAAAGCTGCACATTTATTTCAACAATTAATGGATTATTTATTTCCAGTTTGAATTTGAGTGCCGGGCTCGTGGTGCTGACATTTTAGCTTATCCCCCTGTGGTTGCTGGTGGCAACAGGTCCAATACCTTGCATTATGTGAAAAACAATCAACTTATCAAGGTAACTGAATGAACTCTGCAACATAATAGTGTTATTATCTATTGAACCCCTCCAAAAGAAATAAATCAAGATGGATTGCGGTAATATATTAACTAAGGCATTTAAGAAGATTGGAATAGAACTACAGTTTTAAAAGGATACAATCCTGTTTCTGAGTACCTTCTTAAGCTAAGTAGACTATAACCAGTTCTACTGCATTCTAGTATGTTTCTGACTGTCCTGTAGTTCTAGTGGGGGGAATCTACTTCCTCATTCTATGGAGTAGAACAAAGACATTTAGGAATAATCTTAATATTAATAATTATAATTAATAATGTTATAGCTGTACTGCATATGAATCTTTTAATGGGGAAATATAAGGATTTATATGAGGAATATAAAAGCAATCTATCTCTGAATAGGTGTTGCAGCATGACCCCCAATAATATTTGTCACTATTCATATGATTTGGTTGATTTAGGTAATTGTTTCGTGAGAAAAATGAAACAAGGAGACCTTCTGTTTGCCCCCTTCTTCTCCACCAATGTGCTTGATGAATATGACCTCTATTGGTCAATAAAAGTGGGTGTGATTAAAAGATGGCACCTAAATGAAAGTAAATGGAATTAACATAGCAACAGCTGTTAAGTTAGATCAGACTTTCCCATCTTGGCACTTTTCTTTGTGCTGGACCTCAGTTCCCATAATCCAACTGTCAGTTACAGGATTACAGAAGTCAATAATAATAATTATAATAATAATAAATAAGAGTGATGGTAAGTGTTAAAATAAGCTGAACATCAAAGCTTGCAGAGAAGGACTGTACTATAACTATAAAAAGCTACACTCTGCTGAATCATTTGATGAAAAAGCATACATAATTTATCTCACATTCCAGGTTTGTTTGTTTGTTTAAAAAACTATTTTACAACAGTATTTAAATGAAATTCTTAAGTGCTTAAAAAGTAATTGCCTTTTCTTGTGCTCTAGGATGGAGAAATGGTTTTATTGGATGGAGGATGTGAATACTCTTGTTATGTGAGTGACATTACCCGCACTTGGCCCATCAATGGCAGGTAGGTCCTGTTCCCAGCAAAGGAACATCAAGTTTTTTGCAGTTCCAGGTTTTCCTGAAAATGTTCCATTGTTGTCATTTCTTCATTTCATTATAGTTCAGAAATCGTCCTTGCCTATACTGTAGTTGCAATTTTTAGTGCAGTGTACTACAGTCATCCTCCTTTCCCTGCTCTAAAGTTGAGATATGCTTTAGTTTTTGGTAATGCAAAACTAGATAATTCAGAAAAGTTTGCATGTCATTATTTCATTTCAAAATGCTAATGCGGAAATTTTATTTATCAAATTCACCTTGGAAAATATAAGGTAAAATTTCCAGTTTATGGGAAAGTAGTTCTGGCTTCCTTAATGAACTGTTTTTCATTGTACAGAAATGTTTGAAGCAAGAGGTGTTCAGGTGGGCAATCTTCCACCAACATTTTGGAGTAGAACAAATCCAAAGGACTGTACTGCCCTATCTTAATTATTTTGTACATGCATCTTAGCATTTAATTTTTGCTTTTCTTTCTGATTAATCTCAGTTGAGCTGATTTGTGTTTTTCTCTTATTGTCAGGTTCGCCAGTCCCCAGGCAGAGCTGTACCAGGCTATATTGGAGGTCCAGAAGTCATGCCTAAGACTTTGTTCTTCAGGTGTGAGCCTAGAAAACATCTACAATTTAATGATAACTCTCATTGGACAGAAGCTGAAAGAGTTGGGAATCCTAAAGGATAGCACTAGTGAGGGTCAGGTCTTCAAGGTACTTGGTTTCTTTGTATATCTGTTTAGCCTGTTATTTTTCCTGGCTAAAAAAAACAGTGAACATTTAAAAAAAAAGTGAACAATCCTTAGTTTAAATCATCCCATTTTCATTTTGAAGTTGTAGCTTTCTGCAGTTATGCAGGTCTAAAAGAAATACAGGTAGTCATCGATATACAACCTTCCCTTAATACCATTTAGAGTTATGATGGACCTCCCCAGAATGACTTACAAACTATTTTTGGTGTTAGAACAACCTCCCGTGGTCACATGATCACATTTTAAGCTCTTGCAATTGGCTCTCCTTTACTTCCAGTTTTTAGCAAAAAAACCATCCATTGTGGGAAATGAATTTGCTTAATAACAGCATTCACTTAACAACTGTTGTAAAAGCAATTGTGACTTCAAATCTGGTCACATTATGCCTCAATTGATGACTGTAATTCCAGGCTCAATTCTTGTCATGAATCAAGAAGTACCTGTACTATTTGGAGACAAGTCAGAGGTTCTCAGCTGTATAGTGTCTCTTTCATCCAGCAGATGGCAGACTATTTAGATTATGTATATGCACCAATTGTTTTAATTCCCAACAAGTATTAATTCAAGAGGTAGCGATCAGTGGTGGGACTCTTCTAACATGTCAGTAAGGTTATTAAATATGATTGCTAAATTGGGGAGAAAAGTGCCTCATTTTAAGATTTTGGTAATAGTTACGGAAGATATTTTCAAATAATTTTTTTGTCATGTACATGGGAAAGTGCCTATTCTAGAAATCTGTTAATGACTTACTTTGATTCAACTTACCTTCCTTCATCTTTCATAGACAGATACAAGCACTGATAATATTTCAGTACAAGCTTTTTCTACCCATCAATCCCAGGAATGTTGGGACAAATAAAAAATGCATCACTACAGCAGCATTTTGAAATTTGGCGCAAATTGTGGGAGCCAACAGAATAAACCTTAAATATGTATTTAGCCCAGCAATCCAATATTTGTCTGCTCAGTATCTCTAATGGGGCAAGGAAAAACTTGTGGATCTCTAAAGAGCTGCAACCTGTTGGCATAAACAATATTAGATGGACAGAGAGTTTGGTTTTGCGTAGTGCAGCTTCCAATAAAATTAGCTTAAATCAATGGATATTTTGAAGTAGTATCAATTTCTGTTTCAATTGGCAAATGTAGGAAAATATTTCATACTAAGTAAAACAGTGTTATGAGATGGGCTATCCTTTCAAGTTATGTACTGAGAACATTTTAAAATGGAAAATGGACCTGGGCTTTTTCTTTGTCACACTCTTTAAAGAACATTTCTCTGTAATGGCTTCCATGATATAATATGTGCAGTTCAACAACATAGGCAAACTGCTTAGCAGAGTGAGGCATACTGCTGCTTCTTGAGATCCTTGCTTACTCTGATTTGTGAAATTCATAGGAATTGAAAACTTTCAAAACCCCAGTAAGAACAACCTGCTTGAAAAATAGTAATGTTCATGCTGGTCTGCTGGAAAAAATGATGAGATTTTGTACAAGAAACCAAGCTTAGGTCAAATGATTTTGAATAAATGTTGCATAAAATGTAGGCAAGGTACTGAAATGTAATAGCCTCACAATTCCACGTAATATTAATTTTTACCCACAGAAGAAGCTGCCAGCTAAAAGATCAAAGGTACCTTGGAGCTCAAAACAGACACTATTTGTCTTTAATACCAAACTGATTGTCATTTATATATTTTGCTTAAAGACCAGAGTGTGTTGCTTTTACAACAAACAACAGATTTGATAGAAACAAGGCAGAAGATGGTGCCTACACAAAACATATTAGTTGTATTTATAAGCAAGAACAACCAATTAATATTATATTTCCTTTTCTCTATATGTTTCTAGCACATTTTGTGCTGAAGACATGCCCATCCAACATTTCTCTAAATTTTGCTTGTTTTAGGAATGTATTATTTTTTATCTCATAGGCTGTTCGGAAATACTGTCCACATCATGTAGGGCATTATCTGGGAATGGATGTTCATGATACACCTGATGTATCCCGATCAACTCTCCTCCAGCCAAGCATGGTGATCACCATTGAGCCAGGTAAAATAATGCACCAGTGAAACCAATATAAAAAGATGTATGTCTATGTGTGGTATCTTGAAAAGAAGAATGCCCAGTCATTTATGCAATGATTGCTACAATAATTTCTCAAAAGTATTTTCAAAAATTTATTTTCAAAAAATTCTTAGAAATTTCAATGCAATTGTTTTTCTATTTAGTTTTTAAATAGCTTCAGATTCTTAATATATCCTCTCTCCGTTTCTATTATTTTCCCCCATAAATGTGAGAAGGTAGTCAGAGGCATTGAGAACTATCCAGAAAACACTGCCATTTGCTTTATAGATTTAATTACGAAGAAAAAACCTTCATGATCTTTAGTCTATAGGAAAATAATTTTAAAAGAGTGCTTAATTGGACTTAGATCAGGATATAGCTTGTAAAAACTACTCTTATAAGTTTGGTCCAGTATTTCTACTATTGGTACAAAATGAAGTTGCATGTATTGCATTACATGAATTGGATCAAGATGGAGGTACACTTGCTTACCTATGGAGATAAAACCTGTGCTATGCCTTCTAAACCCGGAAAGAATATACTGTATAATTTGCAAACTGGATCTGCTAGATTTGGATCAATACTTTTATTTCCAGGCATTTACATACCTGAAGATGATACAAGTGTCCCTGAACGATTCCGTGGCATAGGAATACGCATTGAAGATGATGTGGTGGTGACAGAGAATGTACCATTAATCTTGTCTGCAGATTGCCCAAAGGAGATCTATGATATTGAACAGGTTTGCAGCTGTAGCCTTTGATTGTTCTTCGCTGCCTTTTATACCTTGCTCGGGTTTAGATTGGAAAATACACACTCATATATAATACATTTTTCATAACTCATTTATAGGATTGCTTAACTAAGAATCACTACTAGAAAATATTGCTTGCAAGAAACTGTGTGTACATATTTTGCAGGACACAATTACACTATTTAAATGGGAAAATGTACATTACTGTTCAACTTCTTTTTAAAGTTATGCTAATACTAAAACAAAGCCGATGAAACAGAATTATGCATCCCAGCATTTGGTCTATTTCTTTCTGTGCTTATACTGTGATACTGTGATAATGTTATTTACAGAAATGTATTGAATATCAGCTGTACTGACATTTCTCAGACAGTGTATATGTGTGTTCATAACGATTACATTTCAGTTTTAGTCTTTTAGTTGTAAGAGCTGAAAAGGAAAAAAAAGTATTTTTCTGGATACAATAATTTCCAGTGTATAAAAGAAAAGCAAAAAAAAAAACCCTCTCAAATTTGAAATTAGAGAGTTTTCCCCCCTTCTAGAAAATACAAGAAGGACTGTAATGTTGGGAAATCCATTAATGTGAAAATGGGGTCATTAAATATAAAGGACAGCTAAAGACAAATCCCTGTGCAGAATTAGATGTCACAAAGCTAGTGATCACAATTTGTTTAAGCACACATAGTCCTGTATATATTGATGACTCAACTTTAGTGATTAAAAATGTTAGTTTTAAGTTAAAATAATAATATAAGCTCATTTGATAAACTCACAGTGAATCAGAGTAGATTCAAGATGTTTATCAATTGAGTTGTGATTACTGTATTTTTGTTCTTTATGTATTTGACCTCTCAAAGGTGATGTGAACATAAAGGCTCTTTGGGATCCAAATTATGAAAAATACTGCATTTATATTAAATTGCCCTTTTCCTTGACTAAATACAGGTAGTCCTTGATTTACAACTGTTCATTTAGTGAGCATTCGAACTTACAACAGCATTGAAAAAAGTGACTTATGACCGTTTTTAACACTTTCAACCACTGCAGCATCCCGATGTCACATGATCACAATTCAGCCACTTGGCAATTGACTGATATGACTGTTGCGGTGTCCTGGGTCATGTGATCACCTTTTGTAACCTTATGACAAGCCAAGTCAAAGTAGAAGCCACATAAACTTAACTGTGTTACTAACTTAACAGTTGTAGTGATTCACTTAACAAGCATGGCAAGAAAAGTCGTAAAATGGGGCAAAACTCAATAAATGTCTCAGCAACCGAAATTTGGACTCAATTGTGTTTGTAAGTTGAGGACTACCTGTATACAGAAATGGTAACCCGGAAAGTAGTAACACTTCAATTCTGTATATTGTGATAAAATCTAGCAATTGATATAAGACTGTTTCTGAAGTGATGCAAAGCATCAGGGTTTTTTTATTTGAAATTTGTACAGAAACTCTTATTTTAAGGTTGAGGTCTTAATGCCACATATTATCAGAAGATCAAAGCAACAGTTAAACTGAGAAATCAACAACTTTCTTATAAATAGAAACATAAAAATAAATACACTAATAAGTTCACAAATGTGATTAAAAGCATGGTAGTATTCTAGTTGGGTCAGATCAAATTGTTTACCAAGGAATTTTTATAAAAGATGAAATGTTACATAATTATCTGGTGAAATACTTTTTGTGAAGTGCTTTTTGAATTTTTGAAAGATGCTGTCTATATATAGTGTAATTATTACAGATGCATAATATACAAAAGTGTTTTATTTTTCTAAAAAGAAAAAAAATCTGTATTAGTGAAAGTATAATTTCAACAATTATATTTAAAACTCAGCTTACAGAAACCTTTTCTCCTCTTGTTAGTTACCCCCATTTTCTTCAATATCCTAGAATGGAAAGTTTCTAGCCTTTTATCAGTGATAGCCAGTGAAGATATGAATCTCTTTTTAGCATATACTAAATAACCCATGACCTATTGGATCATTGCTTCAGAGATATTTCCTTACCTAAACAGAATAACAATGACCGCTAGTGGCCAAACAAGCAACAGAGAGTAGAAGCAACTTCCAACTTCCTGCCAGCTTTTCCATTGACTTTCTTCATGGGAAGCTAGCAGGGAGTGTCAAAAATGATGATCTTGTGACCACAAGTGACTATGGTGGCACACCAGCATGGCTGCACTGAAGTAGCCACTTTACCAGAATTCAATCCCATAACTGTCATGGCTCCCGGATTTTGGACACATTCTGTAAATTAGCCCATTTGATGTGCATTGATTCAAAAATTGCTATATGATATACCAGCAGCCCCCAACATTTTGGGAACCAGGGACCAGTTCCATGGAGAGTGGTTTTTGCACACTGCCTGCATCCTGCACATGCACGGATGGGGCTTCTGTAACTTTTACAACCCAGTTCCTGGCGGGCCATGCCCCTGGGGTTGGGGACCTTTATGATATACCATTTCATCCCATTGAAGGTTACAGTCATAAGAGTTTTAGTAGTATAGGTAGTCCCTGATTATGACTATTTATTAATGGTTCGAAGTTACGATGACCTTGGAAGAAGTGACTAAAGACCCATCCCCAAAGTTACAATCGTTGCACCTTCCCTATGGCCATATGATTGCAATTCAGGTGATTAGCAATTAGCTTGCATTTACAATAGTTGCAACATCTGTGGTCATGTGATCGCAATTTGCAACCTTCCCAGCCTGCTTCTAACAAGTAAAATCAATTGGGGAATCAGGATTTGCTAAGTGATAGCATGATTCACTTAACAGCCAGATGATTCACATAGCAAATGCAGTGATGGGCTTAAGGACCAAAGTAAAAATGGTTATAAAATGAAGTTCAGTCACGTGATAATTCACTTTAACTACCACATAGCTTAAGAACCCAAATTATGGTTCCAGTTGGGATCATATGTCAAAGACTACTTGCATGTAGATAAAATAATGCATATTTTTAAGGTTGACACCTAAATTTAAGCATTCATCTTTTGAAAAATGTTTGCTTTCATAGGTAGAGCCAGTTCATGTTCTTTCTGCTATGAAACCTTGACATACACAGAATTCCCTTTGATCTATTTTTAATTATGGATGCCAATGAACAGAGAAAGGAGAATTGCATCTCTTTAATAACTAATCTGATTAGTACCATATATAAGTAGTCATTAGACTACTTGGTTGCATCCTTTTTGTAATAGTTTTTTCCTAAGTCAACTGGAAGAAGGTTGGTAGTTTATCCCCATAGAACATTTGGGTTTTGAGAAAAAATTATGGGGCTAATGTAATGGCAGCCCTTTATCAAAAAGCACAATTCCTTTGAGATATATGAAGATTTTACTCAGTTATGATAAAATGCTTTCAAAGTGAAAAGGACTGGAGAACCTTTTCTTTTTTTAGCGTCTTGCAAAAAAATAAAGTTTCTAATATGTTGGAGAACTATATAATCTATACTGCTAATAAAACTAAACTAATTAATTTTATTTAACAGTTTGTACAGATAATCAGAAGCTTAACAATACTCTACATTGAAAAAAGTACTTTTCAGGTAACAAAGAAAGGGGTCCTACAAACTTCTTTCAAGGAGCTTTGCCTTCTTTTTCAGGCCATTTTCATGGCATTTCCATTGTTTTAAAAGCAGGAAAGAATGAAATACTTAAAGAGTCCTTTTATTTTCTATTTAATACACATTTCCATGGATCTAAAACAGTGTTACTTCTCTTCAAGTATTAATTCTTGATAAGCCTTTAAAGTCTAAAAAAAACCCTTGAGCTGTGAGTAACTCAGGTCTATAATTCTGTAATAACATGACACTTCTGAAATCTGAAGTGGCTACTGTATGGCTATAGTCTTGAATTCATTTCAGGTTTAGACATAGCCTTTTCTTTTTTAAATTTAGGGCCACAATAAGGAGTAGACAGCAGCAGAAGAAAAATGGCTAGAAACCCCCTTTTCTATTTCCTTCTGACACTACTTACTCATCCTCTGACTGTCCCAGTTTTCAAACTTTAAAGGAAAAACACTTTCATCACTGAGATCCAAATTGACCTCTTATAGAGGACTATTAAAATTAGGCCATGAGCCATATACAGCCTTAGAGCTGCAGGTTGCTAATTTTTGTTCTATACTAATTGATATGTGTTAGCATACAACAATCTAGGTGACATTTCTGTGCATGCTTACTTCAACATACCTGTTGAGTGATTATTCACAGAAAGGTTTATGTAAAGCAGGGGTGGTCAACCTTGGCTCTTTTATGACTCGTGGACTTCAACTGAGCCATGCCGGCTCAGGAATTCTGGGAGTTGAAGTCCGCGAGTCATAAAAGAGCCAAGGTTGACTACCCCTGAAAGGATTGCGTGCCAATTTTGGATAACTTTTTTTTTTTTTTGGCTGGCTCCCTCCTCAAAGGTTTTAGCTAATTTAGTTGGAAAAAGCGAAGATTGTACGCATATTAATAGTAATTACATTTTTAGGCAAGGGTGTTATTCCAAGCCTAAAGTATGTAGAGGTTAAACCATGTTAAGTACCAAAGAAGCAGTTACTTAAGAGGAAAGATTGAGTATATGAAAAATAAGATTCAAAAAATACTTTTACATAGGTTATGATTTAATTATTCAGATTATGTGGAAGTTGGTAAAACAAACATTTTGAGTTTCCTCAGTTTACTCATTTTTTTAAAGGAAAAGGAAGTGTCAAGGAAAAGTCAAGATTCTTTTTTAAATGCTGGTAAGTTTTTCTATATTATATAAAAGGTACAATTCAGTCTTTTTGCATTTGAAACAGGCCTCTATACAACTTAACAATTTAGGAGTCATTATCTTGGGCTTGGGATGTAGCTTCATGAAGTCAGCCATGCAGGCTGCTGATAGAGGAGGAAGCAACTGAAAATAGTATTCATAGTGGAATTTTAATAATTTTAATTACGCGTATAGAATTTTAATCTTTGGTTTATTTATGACTACGAATTTTAAGCCCCTTCTCTCTTTTTTGGCTCCCTTGTTTTATTTCGTTTGCTTGGTAATCAGAATCAGGGGCAACTTCAAATTATTATATCAAAGCACAAACGAGTTTTATGAACATGCCAAGATGCCATCTCTACAGGAACGGTACGACGCAGAGCACAAGCGCGGAGTTCAGCGAGACTTGTTTGTGATTTAGCATGTTGAGAAGACGGACGGCTATATGTGATTGTCGTCCTAATATTTCGTTCGTTAAAAGTACAATTCAAATTAATGGGCCTTTTCGAGCAAGGTAACACGATTCTGCTGGCTTGGGCCGCAAGTGTATTTTGCACGCGATCGACTGTAACCAGATCTCGGACACAACATTTGTGCAAAAATCTATTGAAGGACGAGACGGCGGCGAAGTGCCGCGGTGCAATGTTTGGAAAGCGATCGTGGAAAAAAATCGTTTTGCAAACCCTGGTTAAATCAAGAGTTGCTAATTGGGGGCGCAGCAGGCAGGATGCACGTAAAACGTTCAGACAGTAAGAGACTTCCGACGCGGGCTAGTGTTAGCCAATGCATGGGGGCGGATTTTGCAGGGACCAGATGAACTGCCAACGCTGCGACTCACTCGAAATTTGTAGGGGCGACTTTTAGCACTTGGTTCTGAAGCTCCGAGTGGCGTGACTTGGCCCTTCCTTAGCGCTATAGATTTGGGCTACTGCACCTTCTATTTTACCAGCCCCTCCCTCTCGCCTACCCCCCCCCCTTTAATTATCCCCAGGTTGTGTTTATTTCGGGCCGCGCGAATCCCGACAATCACCAGTTGGCAACAAGGAAATAAAAGGTAGGGCCACCAGATTTGGTAACCCAGCCTTTTCTGCGGCTGATCAACTGACGTTGAGTAATTCGGGAGTATCTCTTTAAACGAGCGTCTACGAGGCTCTACCCCGCTTCCTCCACCCTCCCTACCAGCGTCGGGCAACTGGCGATGAGCGACAGCGAAGAGTACGCAAGGGCCTGCGTAACGGGCCCCGCCTTGGCCAGCGCCTTTAAGAGAGAAGTGGCACGTGATCAGGCCCCTCCTCGCGCCCCCTTTTCGTTCACACCTGCTTGTAGGAAGGGGAGGGTGTCAGCCACCGAACACAATATTAACGGGGGGGGGGGAGAAGCTATCGCGTGGCTTTTATTTAGTCACGCGCATGCGAGTTGAGGGTAGACCGCTGCAGGGATTTCCTCGTCCAAAATGGCTGCCGCGATGGATGTGGATACTCCAAGCGGGACAAACAGCGGTGCCGGTAAAAAGCGCTTTGAAGTAAAGAAGGTGAGAAAAGGGAAAGCGATTTGATTTGTAATGGTATCGAAGCCGAACGGACTAGAGAGGGTGTCGCTTCTTTATTATATGTGAATGGGCAGATGCTTAGATTAGACAGCATCCTCCTGGACCGAATTTGAGAAGGGGCTGTCAACGCGTGGGAGTGAGCCGCCAAGTGCTTGGGTGTTGCGTGGCTCCGTGCGAAAGGCGATGGGAAGAAGAGAGGGATGATAGGAAAGTGACGGAGAAGTTTACCGGTGGACTTAACTAGTCATTAGGCTTTTTAAAGACGGCATTTCGATTACCAGCTCTCGTAGTTCTTTGATTTGGGATGCTTGCGGGGGGGGGGCGAGGGGACAGTCAGATCTGTGACCCAAAAAATACTGGATAAATGATACATCAGGGAATTGGCCCTTCTTGCTCCGTTCTAACGGCATACCAATCGGTCTTCCTAATCTACATGTGGCAGTGTTTGTAAATATGAACATACTAATTTCCAATCAATATATGTCCTTATGACATAGTCCCACAACTTAGTTCACGAGAAATGAAAGTGTTACGTGTGTATGAGACTGTACAGGTGATTTCTAAGGATACTTGTAGCTGTCACTGTGGTTGGCTAATTGGACTGAAAGCTAAAGACAAAGGTGTATATAGGACCATCTCCATGGAACAATAATTCTTCTGAATTTTCATAGTAAAAGAAAATGAAATGCTTAAAAATAAATCTTTCCAAAAGAGACTGAAAGCAACCTCAGCAAAATTTAGTGATATTTACTTGAAATAACATATTTTCTGAATCAATACATACTTTTGAGTTACAAAACAATCTGTTTTCTAATTGGAGGGCACATTGAAGGAAAAAAGTGAAATTTAATTACTATTAAAATAATGGATGTAACTAATGTGTGTTAAATTATTAAAACATTAAATATTACTGTATTGTAGTCTTTTAGCATATGTATTGAGTCAAATTGAGAAAAAGGTACTGGCTCAGCATTAATGATTCACTGATTATTGAAAATGGTTTTTTGTTTTTCTTATATTTCTTGTATGGGGTTCACATACATACACCTTATTTGATTTGGATTAACCTGATGTATTAATATGGTAATTTGGAAACAATAGTTTGAAACTTTAGCATGTAATCCATAGTTAAATCAAATATGGCTTAATATGAAATATGAATAAGGCTTTTGGGTTTTTTTTTGTTAATGAGAACAATAGAATACATCTGTACAATAACACTAGTAGTTGGGAAAAATCACTGGGACTGAATGAAAAGTGTTTATAAAATAACTAGATACGATTGGTTCTGTGTATTAAATTGCTGTTCAATAAAACATATTGAATAAAATAGCTGAATTGGGTCAGGGATGATGGAGGAAATAGGCAAAATTGATTTTTTGTAGATATGTATGCACTTAAATGTCTCTCTTTATAGTGGAATGCGGTTGCTCTCTGGGCTTGGGACATCGTTGTTGACAACTGTGCAATATGCAGAAACCATATTATGGATCTCTGTGAGTACTTGTGGAGAGAATGTATGTGTTTGTGCGTTGCAAATCCTATAATTACAGATGTGCAAAGACTAATAAAAAATAACTTCAAATGGAAACTATTTAGAAGAGCTTTGTGGAGTGTGACATAAAGCCGTCTTGTTAATTTACTCAAAATACCGGAGATCTGCTGTAATGGATTTCCTAAATTCTGTCAAGATAGCAATTTGATGCAGATTGTATTAAAGCATCTCTTGCTGTATCTTTTCTGTGTGATCAATTTTCCTTCTCTGCTTCAGAATATTGACAAGATTCTTGAAAAAATATGCCCAGATACCTATGTTTTCAATTGTTGCACATAATATGGCACAAAAAAGCTAGCTGAAAGGAATGGCTGGATGCATCCAGGATTTGTTACTGTATCAGCAGTCCAGAGATTAACTATTTTAAATGGACATACATTGTATTTCCACTGCAGAAATACATACCTTATCTGGCAATGCTTGTAGATTTACTGAAGGAGCATATAATCTTGGAAGCCAACACATTCTTGAGCTGATACATCATCTAAGTTTTCCTTAGGGACACCCCTGGTACTCTAATGCTAACCTCAGATTTGTAATACTGCTATATACTCTGTACATCTTCCTTAAAATGTAATCCAAAGATGAAAATTAGTGCAAGAAGCCACAAAAATATTACAACTAAGCTAAATGCATTATACTGTCTGTCAGTTGACTGCTGAGCCATTTATAAAATAGTGGTGTTAAATGTTAATGTGAAACTGTCTATATGCATATCACCATCCTTTTTACACTATTTTGGTGAACAGAATTTGCCAAAAATAAACTGATAATCCCAATTTGCCTTGAGTATCATTTCTTAATTTTGAGATTCGGAATAAATAACCATTCAAAATTCAAATTAATAATAAATTTCCTTTGCCATCTCCAAAGAAAAAAATATCATTGAGTCTGAAATATTGTTGTTATTCCTCTTAATTTGTTTTCTTTTTACTTATTTTATCTGTTTTTAATGTCTTGATATTAAATTTATTGTAAACTGTTAAGAGATTTCAATAGCAAGTATACCACATTAAATAAATAGAATTCATTTAAATTACATTAGTTAAATGTAGATAGCATAATTATGCCAGTGTTTTTACTAATTTTCCCTTTCTGTCACATTGCAAATTATTATTTGATGGCAGTGTTTGAAGGCATTTAGGGCTGCACTCAGGCTTTGGAGAGCTATCAGTTACACATCCATGAAGTATATTCTAGTACAGTGGTTCTCAACCTGTGGGTCGGGACCCCATTTGGGGTCGATCGACCATTTCACGGGGGTCGCCAAGCAAGGCTGTCCGCCATTTTTTTTGTCCATTTTTTTTGTCCGCCATTTTTTCCCCCTTTTCCGGCGGGTGCCTTACCTCCCTTGGGCTGGGCCAGCTGGTGGTCGGCCTGCTCCGTCTCTGCCGCTTGCCAGCTATGCCTCGGCCGGCACAGGGGGCGGAACCACGCATGCGCGGCGCTCCCGGCAGGGAAAGTCCTCGACTTACGACCGGTTGGGTAGTCCTCGACTTACGACCGGTTTAGTCCTCGACTTACGACCGGTTTAGTCCTCGACTTATGATTATGAAAATCAGTGTTGCTACGGTATGCTTGGTCTGTTGGCTTCCATAGTTTCTTATGATGTAATGAAAATAAAAAATGGAGAAATTGTCTATTATGTCTTATTAAGCCTTCTTTGTTACTTATGCAATATAGCTGTCTCATTTCTCCAGTCCCACATTTAGCAGAGAACATACTTGTTGTCACAGGTTCTTGTTTCAGCTATTCAAATAAATAGTTATGAATCCTAACATTAATGTTGTTCTTGTTCTTGCAGGTATAGAATGCCAAGCTAACCAAGCATCAGCTACCTCTGAAGAATGCACTGTTGCATGGGGTGTTTGCAATGTAAGGAATCTACTTTTATACCATTTAAATATATTTAAATACATTTATTATTAGAATTACTAATAATTATTTCTAGTAATAAAAAGATTACTAGAAGTCTTAAGAAGCAAAATATTTAGAACCAGCTTCTAAATTTGGAGGAATGCAGTGAACCTAATAGCATTCTCCTTTGTAACGTAATTGAAACTTATTTACTCTATTGTATTTAGTTGAAACTATTCTATTTATTTATTAATTTTTTTAATGCTGCCCATCTCACTGATATACTGACTCTGGGCAGCTTACAATAAAAAGGTAAAAAAAGATAATACAAAGCAATTAAAATTAAAAGGGTTAAATAGAAAGCTAAAAACTGAGAGGATGGGTAACATAGAGGATGGAGATTTGTATATCAGGCTTTGCCTTGCAATTCCTGGTGATAATTTTTACCCCAAATATGCTGCTGATCTCATCATCCTCTGAAGTAATTCTACAAAGTAAAAATAGAAATAAAAAGATTTATAGCATGCTATTTTCATAACTTTCCCCCTTTTTTTTTTAGCATGCTTTCCATTTTCATTGCATTTCCCGCTGGCTTAAGACTCGACAGGTATGCCCATTAGATAATCGAGAATGGGAGTTTCAGAAGTAAGTATACTTGCCTAAATAATGGAAATATTGTTAACCACAGCATATATCTAATTTCAGCTAGGTGTTTTGATTATAGGTAGAGCTTACATTAAGAGTGTTTTGGCAAGCTGAAATTGGCACTTCCATTTGCTTTAAAGGGATATAGATGAAGTACAACATTGCCACATTTGCTTAAAGGGAAGTGCATGAGCATGTATGAATTAACCCTTTAGGCAGCAAAAAAGTGTCATTGATAAAAGTATAGCATATACTTGTATACAGTATGCAGACTAATATTCAAGATTGCACATATATTTCATTACATAAGTAGAATGATTGAGTACAAGTCCTCAGGTTAAGAATTCCCTGGTTTAAGAATAACCCACAGTTAAGAATGGAGCCTACTGGAGCAAAATTTGAGTTAAATATACAGTGATTCAAGTTAAATAATGGTTCAAGTTCATTATACAATATTACTTATACAATAATATTGTTCCAGCTTACATACACATTTGACTTAAGAGTAGACCTTGGGAATGGTAGAGCTTAAAATGGAGACTATCTGTACTCAGGATTAAGCATCTTTGGAAATAAAGTTAGTTAATCTAAAGTCTGTTAAGATACCAATAACAGTATAAAGTATATTTGTAAACTTAGTTTAATAAATACAGATTTGCAACCAAAGAATGAAGCAGATTTGCAATTACATTAGTAACAGTTTATGGCCAAATGACTGTTAAAACTGATAATGTATCAGTGTTTATTTATTGTAATAAGCAGCAATACAATCTCTGTAACATTGAGAGATTTCTGTTGACCTTAATTAATATATAAAGAATCAATAAAATAGCAGCATCATAAACAAAAGTATCAATAATAGAACTTCAGAGCAGGGTGATAATATTGCTTAAGATTCACAGAGATTTTCAACATTCTGTGTCATGTAACGTAAAGTGTGCAATACATTTCATATCAACTGTGCCCATCAATTAAATATGGTATAAGCATGATGTTTCATTTCTTTTTAAATGGCAGAACTGCCAGCTTGTGCAAAACAGCTGTTAACAAAGCAGTGCATGGATATAGGAGCTATTCAGGATGATTTCCTAATTTGCAGGTGCTATCCCTTAAATCAGGAATATGCAACTTAGTTTGCTCTAGATGTTTTCAACTGTTTCATATCTGTCCCATTAAACATGACCAAGAACAAACATTTGTGACTTTGGCATTCAAAACTTCTGGAAGGTACCAGATTAATCTGCAAGTCAGGACCCCTTCAAATTAAGGTCAACTTCTAGTGATTTCATGGAAATGTTTGTGTAGTTTTCTTACCAACCAGAAGTGATTTACTAACACTTTCTTCTAGTGTGCTTTTTCAAAACCAATTTAGCTAACTTTCCTGCTATTTCCTATTGGTCTCCAATCCAAGTACTAACCAGATTATGCACAGGCCAGGTTATTTGCAGGACCATCTCTCATCCCACTTTGTTAGATAGGCGCACTCCAGGTCCCCTTCCCTTAAATGTTGTCATCTGATGGGACTTCAGGGACATGTCTTTTTTGTGGCTGCCCCAGCCCTTTGGAGTAGTCCCCCCATCTGAGATCTGAGGGATCTTACCCTTTTAACTTTCTGGTAGTCCATGGAGATTGACTTTTCCTTTATGCTAGGATGGGAGTTTTGCTGGGAAGCTGTTTGGCCTGGTGCCAGAAGGAAGGTTTTTTATATATACACATACACACACATACACACTCTTTTAATGGATTATTTTGAACCAATTAAAATCATTACATGAGATAAGCAGTCCTATAAATAAATAAATAAATTCATCACTGTCATAAATTATAAAGCTAAATAACTTCTTTGTAGCTTAGAAAAATGATTGTATTTTGACATGATTGCTGGTTAGTCCTAAAAGGAAAATATTTTTTTTCTAGGTATGGACATTAGCAGGAGAGCCAAGATCCCCAAGTTTATTCTGTCTTAACTTAAGCCTTTCACAGTGCAAGTGGGCTGATTCTGTTATACCATTTTTGTTTTTTCTTAATGCAGTCATTGTGAGTAATAATAAACCTTGTTGGTCTCCTGTTTGAGTTGCTTCTTGAATTTTCATAACTTTAATTATTTTAAAGTCGACGTCAATTCCTTGCAATTACATATTCTGAATAATTATTTGCACATAATCCATAATTTGCATACAGTTGACTAATGCAACCTATAAAAAGCACATGGTGGAAAATGTCCCTTGTGTAAACAAATTGTGTAAATTGTGTAAACAAATTGTGTAAATTGTCCCTTGTGTAAACAACTTGTGGGGTGCCTCAGGGGTCGGTCCTCTCGCCCCTATTGTTCAATATTTATGTGAAGCCGCTGGGAGAGATCATTCGAGGCTTTGGGGTGGAGTTCCATCAGTACGCTGATGATACTCAGCTGTACATCTCCACCCCAGGCCACCCCAACGATGCCCTTGACGTGATGACCCGTTGCCTGGAGGCCGTACGGGTC